GTCCCTCCCTCCCTTGGTCCCTCCATCCCTCTCTCCGTCCCTCCCTCCCTCCATCCTTCCGTTCGTCCCTCCCTCCCTCCCTCCCTCCCTGTCTCCCTCCCTCGCTCCCTTCTGCCTCCTCGTTTGGCTGAGAATTCCCGATCTGTGCGGCCAAGATTTTGTTGTGGAATCAACCGGCGAAGGTCACACAATTTACTGCCAGAATCAAACGTTGTAAGCCTTCTGAAGCTCATAAAAGGAAACGTCTTTGATATCAAAATTTTGGACTTTTTGCGCCTGGGTTGGGCCTGACTGTTGGATTTCCTAAGGCCAATCTTGACTGATTGAGGCCCTGGATGCACCGATTGAACCCCTGACCTCAGGCATACTGATCTAAAGACTTTCTGGAGCCTCCTTAGAAGCTCTAGTACCAACTTTTCGCCAAAAGCTATGACTCTAAGACTTGTGACCCGTTGCCCTTTTCTTGCTTTCTTTTCATCCAATGAAATTCTTAACCCAAGTAGTTCAGTACCAACTTCATCAGGGGTCTCACCCAATGAGACGGAACCAAAGAGTGTTCCAGGGTGGTTTGGGTGAGGGGCCGGAGAGGATCCATCGTCTGCAATAGGAACTTGAGAGTAATGAGAGGGGTCGTGCCGCCGATTCATCTGCACTCTCAGGCGAAGCAGATGCTACTCGTACTGGCTGTTCCCTTTTGGTTCCCTGATGAGAGGATGCCATGCGATAACGTGCCCTCAGTTCCACACTTGAGGGACTGCCGCTTGTTCCATCTTTCCGGCCACTCTTCTCGGGGGATACCTGCCCCAGGTAAATTCAAAGTCACACTGGGGTTCTGCCGTACTTTCCTTCCTTTTCCAGTTTTTCATGGTACTCAATCTGCCTATGCGGCTTTCGGCTTGCCATTCTGAGTCTTTCTGTGCAACCTCAGTCTTGAGGTTAGCAAGTTTTTCCTTAGGCGTCAGCAATAGCGGCTGGCACTTCCTTGCTATCCTGCAAAGTCTCAGCAGCTGTTACGGCAGCTTTCATCTGCTCTCACACTTCTTAGACTGGTTAGGCGCTCGGTAATTTTGGTAGCGCGCGCCGTTGAAATTTTTTCTTTCGTTCCTGGAGCATTTCTAACTGGGAAGTGTTTGTTTCTGCTACCTGCGTCCTTGTCTTCATGTCATCGTCTCCGGCTTAGTGCATGAGAAGAAGTGGAGAAAAGGACAAAATAATAAAACGGTTAAACCACGAGTTCAAGCGAACCTACGCAGTGCTCTTACCGGTATACGCGGTAAGAACATTTTCATTCGGTACTGGGCTGGGAGTGAAAGCGACCACCCACTTTGAAAAGGTGCACTTGCAGGCTCTCGAGCCTTGGACGGTAGCCTCGTCAACTTAACTAGCGTG